TATTTTAATATATTTTTAAATAAAAAATATTTTAATAAACAACTATAATCATACTTTAAAATATTATTACTACTATTAAATATTATGGATTATATTTATTGATGTAGCTTTTAAAGAAAAACACTTACTAGCTATATGAATATTTTTTTAAATCAATTATTTCAGTATTATTTTAATTATTAAAACTAAAAAAATATTTTATGGTATAAATATTTTTATAAATTTTATCAATAATCTTAAATATTATGGTCTATATTAATGGATGTAGGACGTCGCAATGGTATTTTTCATAGATTCCTATTATCGTCTGTTTTCTCACCAGGAAAAAAAGAAGAGAGAGTATATTTTCATTAGTCGTCTGTTTTCTCACCAGGAAAAAAAAAAGAAGAGAGAGTATATTTTCATTTCACACCTTCATCGTTATGCAGCGAAAGGGATGAAGTGATCTCTATAATATTCGAATTTTGATGTGTCCGGATGACATGTCATTTTTATTTTTTTGTCACACCACATGCTCATGATATGCATGCGTCATACTGACATAGCCTATTTTTATTTTTAATTGTTTTTACAGGTGTCATTCATTGAAGCATGGCCATTTATTAGGTTTTTTATTATTATTATATTATTTAGTCATTAATAATGATATCATCTTTTCCCAATATCTTGGTATTATTTTTTATTTCGGTAAAATAGGGATGGTAGCGTAGAAGAAGAAGCTGACCAGTAAAAATTGCTATTTTTTACATTCCTATCTTGTAATTAAAGATTAAATAACTAAAATATGATTATAAAAAATAATTTAAAAAATACTTTAAAAAATAAAAACAAACACCATGCATTGACTACAGTGTCTTTTTTTTTAATTAATTAAAAATATCTTCTCATCTCTTGAAAAAATTAATTAAAAATATCTTCTCATCTCTTGTAATTTACTTTGAATAACGTTTCTAAGACATGAAAAATCATGGTTAATTTCTTGCACAACATTGACATGTGACCAAACCCTTTCATGCTTGCTCGTAGAAGATACCGCAAAAAAATTAGCTTGTGGACGCAGCCACCAACCTCCAATTGACCCGAAAATACTTACTATTTCAATGGAGACTCCTAATTCAGATAAAATAAATAAATAAATAAATAAAATTATTGAATACTATTTAAATAATTTAAAAACTCCCATTATAGTTGGAACCTTAATAATAAGAATTCAAAATATCATACATTGACCATTCAAAGAGAAATTCAACAACGAAAAAAAATTCGTTTTTGAACAAAGATAAGAAATATGGAATGCATAAATTAGAATCTTATCTATTTAATTTGGAGCAACATTAATTTCATTAAATATTTTTCTCGAAATCACCATCTCAAAAATACAAATCCTCGGAACATACATATTTACGAACACATATATAATCTTCATAGCACAAATCATCTCAGTAACCCTTTTTGATATTTGGATCTGAATCCAAAGATCTCAAATAACTTCACATCTGAGAAAATTACTCGTTAATAGGACCTTGAAATATATATGTATATATTAAGAGAAGTGTTTGTACAAAGACTTTGAAACGCCATGCCAGGTCAAGTCTTTTGCTCTTGCTTCATCGTTATAAATGCAGGAAACCGCCTCATTTAAACAAACTCCCAGCTACCATTTCATTTTTGAAACACAAGAGGTCTTCATAGAGCTTCAGTGGAGAGTTCTTCCCTTCTGCTTCATTAGGTTTGTCAGTTTGACATTCCTATATCTAAATTCATTTCATCATTGCTAGTTTTATTTTTCCACCTTCCTTTTTGTTGCAGTAACTGTGAGCTTTGAGTTTAGCATGACTAAACGATTTTTTCGTGGTTTTTTAGTTTCTTGTTGAAATTAAAGGCCCTTTTGGTTTTCCATCCGAAATGAAGCTCAAAACACTAGCTTTCTTCAAAATTATTACTTTAGAATTTGTTCTCTTGGTGGGTCTTTCAAGTTCTAATTATAACTTCTAGTTTCCCTGAGTGATCAGGCTATTAATCATGCTGTGTGCCTGATGATTACTAAAAATACTTGATTTGGTATTGCTATTAAAGAAAGCAGAAAGTCCATGGCATGATAGAGCCTAATGGATGAAAATTATTTCAATGGGAAAGTTTATTTTATATGAATACTAATTTTTCTTCAAGATTTAAGGGAGAAAATAGATGTCATGACTCTTTTTTTTTTTTTTCTAATTGCATAAGGAGGTTTGATTTCTTAACACAAGTTAAACTCTTTTTGCAGCCAACATGTATCTTATAAGAAGGCAGCCACATACTCAGCAGGAGAATGGCCCTTCAGAACGAGATGCAAAGGTAAAGTTTGAGGCAGACGGACGTTTTTTACTTTCTGATTTTCGTCTCCTGAAGAAATCATGAATAAGTGGATTGAAAATAGACATTAAATGGTTTTCGACAAGCAGGTTTGTGAGCTCAGGGATGCTCTTGGACCTCTATCTGGTCGTAGTTTACAGTTCTGCACTGATTCATGCTTGAGAAGGTATTTGGAAGCTCGGAACTGGAATGTTGACAAGGCAAAGAAAATGCTGGAAGAGACGATTAAGTGGAGAGCAACTTTCAAGCCTGAAGAAATCCGCTGGGTATGTGGGATGCAATGATTGCCTGCACATTTTCTTGATATATAGGATGCCCAGATCTAGCCGCTGTTTTTCGATTCTAGACTATGTTATCCAGACCATTTTTTTGACATATGCACGTGTAATTTCTCAGCATGAAGTAGCACATGAAGGCGTGACAGGGAAAATCTCCAGAGCAAATTTTCATGATCGATCCGGGAGGACTGTGCTTATAATGAGGCCAGGGATGCAGGTTTGTACTGTTTTTTTCCCCTCATTTTTATCTAGTGATTTTTATTTTTTTGGCTCTTAAGCAAGCACACCGTGACTGAAGCTTTTGCAAATTGACCTTTGACCTTTTCTTCTGCAATTTGGCAGACCACAAAATGTACTGAAGACAATGTCCGCTACATGGTCTATCTTTTAGAAAATGGAATCCTTAACCTTGCTGATGGTCAAGAACAAATGTCATGGTTGATAGACTTCACTGGATGGTCCTTGAGCACCAATATTCCCATCAAAACTACCCGTGATTGCATCAATGTTTTGCAAAACCATTATCCCCAAAGGCTGGCCATTGCATTTCTTTATAATCCTCCAAGAATTTTCGAGGCGTTCTGGAAGGTTTGTTCTTCTGTCACATGTCCATTTTGTCTATTCTGAGCATAATCAGCGGTCAAATTTAAAGTTTGTTGAAAACCAAGCATCGTGCTCTTGAGGGCATCACAATTCTATTAGTCTATTTTCACCACCTGTGCAGTTGACCTTTTATATTGGACTAGACTCGGGTTTCGGATAACCATAAAATTGCTGCATTTATTCTACTTTAAATTTAGAACGTTGGACTTGTGTATTGCTGAACCTGTTATTACTCCATCTCTTCAGGCTGTCAGGTACTTCTTGGATCCAATAACATTCAAGAAGGTGAAGTTTGCTTACCCAAACAAGAAAGAAAGTTCGGAGCTCATGCAGTCTTACTTTGATATTGAAAATCTTCCAAGTGAATTTGGGGGAAAAGCCTCACTCGAGTATGACCATGAGGAGTTCTCACGGTTGATGGTCGAGGATGACGAAAGAACTGCCAAGTTCTGGGGATCTGATGAAAAGTCGAGACACCTTGCTGATGACCATTTACCTCAGATGGCACCAGTGCCAGCGCCTCTTGCAATAACAGCTAGCTAATCTGGGCTGCCTGATGCTCGAATCTGGTATGCTAGCAACTGAAGATAAGAAAAGTGTTGCTTGGACTCATGTTTAGTGCTAAATATCATCTGCTGTATGAAAAGAAACTATCGTTAAATAGTTTCCATTCTATTAACTTCAATCTTTTTTTCTGAGCAATTAATTACTTCTATCCCTTTTCTTTTGGAAAATAATTATTTCTTCCTCGCAATACATGACCTTATACCTGCTACAAAGCTTGCATCTGCGCAACATGCTGAGGAATAGAAAAGCGAAAGTGGTGAAAGCTGACCAGCAATAATCCAGTGGTAAGAAAATAACCAGGTGGGGGAGGATATTTCTCTTTTGAATCCTACATTTGTATCTCTCAATTCACATGTAAGTATGTGATTGACTAGAAATTTCAAGTTCATTGAACTCTTT